TTGTGTTTTCTGACTTGTTATAATGTTTTCTGAATTGTTATTTTGTTTTTTAGACTTGCATTTGCATTTGCGTTTGTAATTTGTTATTTTTTTTTCAGAATTGTGATTTGCTTTGCACTTCTCGGCCACCGTACAAAATGCTGTCATTCTACAATTCTCCACCATATTTACTATGCTACCGCGCAAGTTCAGGCTAACTCAAAAACTTGCAGAAACTAAGTCATTATTACGAGAAAGTTTCTCATTATAACGAGATACTAAGTCATAATTTTGAGAAAGTTTCTCATTATTATGACTTACAGAATTATATTTTTTATTCAGTGGCGGAAACGGGCTTCCATATGAGAATGACATGCACAAAGAAAAAAGAAAGAAAAAAACTTTACTGAGTCTGAAATTGAGGTCCTGCTGGCGGAGGTAGAGGTTCGTGCTGGGACGCTTTTTATTTAATAATGTGTAATTATTCTGTGGACAAACAATGCGTGTGTGGTTATATTTTTTTCTATTGACTTATCAAAATTACTACTTCTAGAAACAACAGAAATAATAATAATAATAGTAGTAACTATAAAACAATTAGGTTTCCAAAGGAAAGCATAAACTACGAATTCAAGTAAAAATTTCAATCGTCTTATAAAAAGTGAGCCATCCTACTTTTAAAATCACTTGCTATGACAACTAATAAAAAGTTTAGTATCAGGAAATTCTTGCAAAACTTTTTAACAATGTTATTGAATAGAATATATTAAAACCGTTATTGCACGACATGGGCGTATTATAGCCTAGGCTACACACAAAGCAGTCGGAGATGCGTTTATGCATTTTTTTTCTTTCTATTTTACGCATTAGTAGTAAATCAAGACTTCGCAAGTTCTCTTGTAAAATAAAAACAACATGGAATAAACAGTGTACAGAACGCGAGTAAAGTTAATCTCGCAAAAACACCCGTTAATAAAAAAATCTGACTACACTGCACAATTAATCTCTTACACTGCATCTTTGTTGTTTATGATGAATTCGGTGCTTGCACGTACACCGCTTTTATTATTTTTGCAGCTTAGATGTTCAAATAGCTGCAGTACTCAGACTTTGCCACAAGGAAAAGTGCGTACGCCTGCTCAGACCCTGACGCGACGGTAAGTACTTTTCCACGTCAAAGACGTTTTTATAAATATGAATGTTGCCGTGGACTTTAGCGTACGCACACTCCAAGATCAAATCTGTGCGTACGCACATTTTATAAATGAGGCCCCAGACGTGAGATTTGATCGTAGCCACCGCTCACGTCCTTATGGATACATTCCAAGTTTTGCGTTGAAACGACCGCGCGCCCAATTTTCTGTCGTACTTTCTTTTCGTAAATGAGGCCCATTGTGATTAAGATGTTTACATGCCCTGGCAATCTGATTAATACAGAATGATGAATGGAGATGTAACTGCATCACTTACTTTAACGTTTTCATAATAACTTCCAGTTCGTAACCTCTCGATCTCTTCACACCAGGTCGTGTTTCGTTTCAGGTGTGCAATGACTTTATCTGTTATGTCATTAACATGACTGGACGCGTTAGACTGCTCGTTCTTATTGATTTTTAATTTGTCAATAGTTGCCTTAAGAACCTTTCCCAATGTGTCATCGACTCTTAGTCCTCTCATTGCAGTTTGTTCTGCGCTTTTCTTTTGGCGATCCGTGCTGTGCGCGCTGACCGCTGGAGAAGCGTCCTGAGCGTCACTCGCGTCAGAAGAATCTGTTTTAATAGCAGATTCATGCCGCCTTCTAGGTTTTGCTGTGGATTTTGCTTCCAATTTGCTTTCGGAGCTCTCCAGTGATTCTGCTTTGTCAAGATTTAAAGGATCGCTCTCCTTTTTTCTCTGACTTTTTGGTGCTGGTTTTTCATCGGATTTGCTCTTGACGGTTTGCCGTGGTTTGCCTTCACTTTCACAGTCAAACTTTTTACTCTGATGCTTGCTTTGTGCACTGGCTTGTTTCTCATTCTCGTCAGCATTGTTTGCGTTTTTGGGAACAGATGCGCCGTTTTCTTGGTACTTACTCTCGGAGTTCTCCGGAGACTGTCTGAGATCCCTCTGCTTTTTACTCTGTCGATGAATGGTTCCCCGTTTTGGTGCTGGGGTTTCGTGAGGTTTGTCTTCACTTTCACAGTCATGAGGATCTTTCTCCTTTTTACTCTGTTGCTTCTTGCTTCCCCGTTTTGACGCGCACTTGGCCTCTGCGCGCTCCGGAGACTTCTCCTGCCTGTCAGTCTTATGGTGATCTCTCTGCTGTTTACTCTTCTTATTTGCATTTGATTTAGTTTGAGCTTTGGGTTGGTCAGGGCTTGTCGCGCGGAAGCTGCCCGGTCTTCTCTGGCTGTTCATGATGGCTGGTGTGAGCTGCGACGCGCGCAGTTGTGTTAAAGGAAGGTTTCTGTTACAGAGAACTGTGACATCACGATACAGGTGGTTGTACTGTGCCAGGCTCTATGGTTCCAAATGTCTCACTTCCTCAGTATTATGACGTTATTTCTGTAGGCTATGCATCAGGGTTTCCGTGGATCGTGTGAAGTAGCCTACATTTATTGACAAACGTGTAGACAGGTGCTAGTTGTCATAGGGCTATTTATTAATTACAACATCTCAGGGGCGTAGATTACCTGGGGGACGTGTCCCCCCCACTTTTAATATCACGTAAATTCGTCCCCCGCACTTTTTCGGGCAAGTGTGTTCGCATAGAGGTTTTCAAGAGCCGGTGTGAATAAATATAGATTTAAATTCAAAGAGACCGGATAGTCTGTGCATGACCTGGTGTTTTATTCGGACCCAGAATGAGGCGAGATGAACATCGCTGAGCGCTAAACACGCATGCAGTGTATGCTTCATTCATACTCGAAGCCGGAGGCGCTCTCGCGCAGAAAGTCGTACGAGGAAGTTCCTAATATGAACAAAAGCGTCCAGCTATCGCTGTATCAAAACCGTTGTTTTCAGAAAAAAAGAAACGTTTGGAAACATGAAGACATTAAACATACAATTGCGACAATATGGTTTATTTGTGTTTGTCAAGTCATCTCCAGGTAATAAATAAAGTATATGAACAATGCAGTGCTAACTGACATAGCATTTATTACAGTATTGAAACTATTCTGCCTTATTATGTGATAAAGTGTTTGTAGTATATAAACAAATCGTTATTGTACAGCAGTTATCTGATTTCTAAGCCAATTAAAAGCTAGAAATGAGAGAAATTAAAGTTGACTATACACTACCAGTCAAAAGTTTTTGAACAGTAAGAATTTTTAATGTTTTTAAAAAAAAAGTATCTTCTGTTCACCAAGCCTGCATTTATTTGATCCAAAGTACAGCAAAACAGTACAAATTTGAAATAGTTTTACTAGGCTATTTTCAAATAACTGTTTTATTTGAATATATTTTAAAATGTAATTTATAGTGATTTCACTATTTTCAAATAACTGTTTTTTTTGAATATATTTTAAAATGTAATTTATAGTGATTTCAAAGGCTAATTTTTTTTGCATCATTACTCCAGTCACACTATCCTTCAGAAATCATTATGATATTCTGATTTGCTGCTCAAAAACATTAATAGTGATAGTAATAATAATAATTTAAAAACGTTTCTTGAGCAGCAAATCAGTATATTAGAATGATTTCTGAAGATCATGTGACTGAAGACTGGAGTAATAATGCTGAAAATTCAGCTTTGATCACCGCAATCATTTTAAAATATATTCAAATAGAAAGCAGTTATTTTAAATGGTAAAAATTTCCATTTTGCTGTACTTTGAATCAAATAAATGCAGACTTGGTGAGCAGAAGAGACTTCTTTATAAAACAAAAAAAATCGTACTCTTCAAAAACTGTTGACTGGTATGTTATATAGATTACAGAAATGTTATAATGTAATGTTTTATATATATATATATATATATATTTTTTTTATATTTTGATGCAGTAGTAACAACAACAAAAACATTCTTAAAAGTTACTATTACATGAGCAACAAAACAGCAAATAAGTATATAATATCTGATCAACAGGTTCACTCAGCATGGCTGCATATCCTCTCACCTCTCACTCACCTCTCACAGAGATTCTAAGTCTCACTTAGACAGACCTTCGGCCAAAACCAAAACCACGTACTTAGATGGGTAAAGTCCATCTGACTGAAATGTAATGTTTTATATATATATATATATATATATATATATATTTTATTTTTAATATAACATTTCTGTCCCCCTCACTTCTGAAATGATGGCTACGCCCCTGCAACATTTGTTGGCCAAAATAATGGTTTGAGATTTTTTTTTATATGATAACGTTTACTTTGTTAAATTCGGCTTAAGCCTTCAATGGACTATTTAATGGCTGTGTGAAAACATGCCTGACTTTGTGTGTTCAGTAAACTCTTATTTTTTTCTTGGGCAATAATGGTGATATGACAATATTCAATACCGTGAAAATTCCGACACTATACTGATTTGACTTAAAAATAAATCTACCCTGAGAAATATTAAGTGGAGTAAAAAGTCTCCCCTCTGTAGTGTTTGAGTAGAACAGGAAAATCTTTCAAACACTAAAATGGAAACTTAATATTATAGGAGTTATTTATTTATATATTTCATTGCAAACTATTTTTTTAAATCTAGGTATCTGTTCTGAAAACGTATTTAGGCCAGCTATTGACTAATAAAATAATAGTTCTACTTGCATTACTATTAGTAGTAGTGGTAACCCGTCCCCAATTTTTTTTTTTTACCAAATGGCTTGATAATGACTAATTTTATAAATTGATCACTTGCGACATCTTGTGGTAATATAACCAATATACTTTTAGGATTTTAAGCTGTATGTTTATACAATAAATAATGAATACATGAAATGAATCTCATTGTTTAAAAAAATCGCGTAACTGCCTATAAAAAGACTAAGTCCAAGCTGTGTGAAAGACTAAGACTTTAATGATAAATAGTTTGATCTATTCTAAGCTGTTTTTTAGACTGTCATTACTTCAGTTGAAGTCTAAGCTCAATACAATACTGTAATTTCCTAAATACAAAGGTAAAAGATCAATCACACACCTGTATGGCTTTTATGTAGTGTACTGTTAGGGAGTGAAATGAACACAAACACAATTATTATGGTTTAGACATCTTTAATATGACATGAAAGCTTTTATTTTTATAATAAGGTGCGGTAGCTAATGCCAATTAAAGTCAACAAGTGCTTGTGCAGGGTTAGCCTACGCCAGTCAAAGTGCTAAACATAAAGCTGTCAGTGCACCAAAGATTGCATGAGCCCAGACACGGGCTGATTAAGAGCTTCATTTTAGGTTTTCATTGTTCTGCAAAGCTAAACATAAAGGTTCTCAAAGTCTACTACATAGTGTCGTTTAAGTAGCTCACCACCAGTGGATACTGAACACATGGTATTTTGCAAACAAGCACTAAAGCAAGCGAAGACAACATTATGAGAACCAGGCTAAAACTGCACACCAGAGCAGAAGAGGTCAAACCTCAAGATTTAAAAAATCACATATGGTTGCAACAGCTATCATCGAAGAGAAGAGCACAACTATTAAAAACACTATTAAATAAGTTCAATGGTGTGGATGTAAGACGTGCAGTACGAGTCAACATACAAATTGGAGTTAGCTAAAGGACTGCTTTTATTATTTTTTTTCCTTCTGATACTTTTGCGATGCATTGGAACTATTAAGCAGTCTCTGACTATAGAACCTAAGCAGCCAATAGAATAGAATAGCTGGATGACCTCTGCTTTTCCATATGTGTCTCTGGAGTTGGCAGTCAAACACAACATTCATTTGGCCTTCTGGGCTTTCTGAGCGGATTTGGTGATCTTTCCGCTCGTCGAGGTCTTTTTCTCCACTCCTTTAATCACTCCCACTGCAACGGTCTGACGCATGTCACGCACAGCAAAACGACCTGCAAACCAAAAAAGAATCTAAGCAGGTCATCTTGTGATCATTATCTCTATCATCCTAACACTGATTGTGAAAATCCTCCTGGCATACCATATCTTTAATTAAAAAAATGTTGGTATGAAATGGAAATACATCTATTTGTAAAAATCTGTTTTCTAAATGCATGTTGTTTTTTTTTTCTTTTTTAAGTAAAAATGTTATAAAACAATCTTTCGGGGGGAAAGGCCAACTTCTCTGTATGCCGGACCTCTCCAATCATTTAGTCTGCTTAAACACTGCCACTGGTTTACAGTCGACTGCCCTACTTTTTTTTATTTTGTATTTGTTTTCCCCCCCAACTGTCCGTTTCATTCAGATGTAAGGACGAAATTACCTATCATTACCTCTAGGGATGTGACGATTCACTCAACTCACGAGTCGATTCACGATTTTGATTTCGCGAATTGATTCGATTCACAATTTCTTTTTTTTAACAATGAGATTTAAGACAAATTATAAATTAAATGTGTACTATTATTATTGCTTGGACAAAATGCTGCACATTTCTTTGTGAAATTGAAATATAACACTATAATATACTAATATAGCATCTACATTTTTATTGCTCTTTTGTTGGTTTTGATTGCTTCTATTATCCTCATTTGTAAGTTGCTTTGGATAAAAGCATTTACTAAATGACAAAATTTAAATATAATATAAATGTAAATAACAAAACTAAATTGAAATTTTAAAACAAGCCCCAAATAAAATAAATAACACAAATAAAATAAATCTCTTCATATAAACAAAAGGCGTAGTCTGTGCTCTTCCCATTTAAAATTAGAGGCAACCACTGCATTTTAATCATGATCCAAAACATACATGCAACAGGAGCAGTTTTTTTTAAATCTAAATTAGGTTGTATAATTTAGAAATTTGAAGCAAAAACAGAATGGTTTGACTTCAGTTTTGTGAAAGTATACATAAAAAAATATCTGCATGAAACCGAAACAGCAGATGAGCTGAATGAGACGCAGATTCACTCTCTGCCAGCAGGTGGCGCTTGAAGTGTGTCATTGGTTTCTGCTGTAAACAAAGCAGCGCTGCACTTATGAACTTTAATATGCATTATACAGAGGCAAGATGAAGAGAAAATACCATCTAAACTTTTCTAAAGATAGTAAGTTCCCCTCAGACATGCAATATAAACTCCTACACCTAAATTAATCGTGATTTTTAGCATCTCAACCGATTTGAATCGTCACATTTTTAAATCGATTTTCAACCGGCTCACGGTTAATCGTTACATCCCTAATTACCTCTTTCAAACTATCAAAAAGAAAAAAGTCATCAGTTTGGAAGTAAATTATAGAAAACAATTTTCATTTTTGAATGTATAACGTCTTGATTGTTTGTTTGGCATGGCTTTTAGATTTTCATAAAAGAGGAATGACAAACTATCAAGAAAAAAAATACTTAATGAATTTAACTTGTTACCTTAACTTTA